CTAGAAGCCTGTTGATCTCTACGGATTTGTCGAATCCCCTATTGTGAAGGAAATTTAATTACTTGATGCAATGTGGACGGTACAACATCCATATCGTGAATCCATGGTCTTCCTAGAATTATATTATAAGACATGTCTGCATCTATCACCTGGAACTTTGTATCCTTGATAACTCCCTCTGCAAACGTGGTAAGCACTACTTCCCCTTTTGTGATAACGCTTGAATTATCAAATCCAGACAAAGACCGTGCCTTTGGTATCACCTTGTCGTTAGCTTACATTCCATTCACCACCCTTAGTAAAATGATATTTACGGAGCTACCTGGGTTAATCAAAACTCGTTTAACGTTAGTATCGTGTACAAGTAGAGATATTACCAATGCATCATTATGAGGAATTATCAAGTCGTCCGCATCTTCATCATCAAATGTTATACTGTCTTCATCCAAGACTTGGCGAACTCGCTTCCCATGAGTGACCGTGACTTTTGACGTCTTTTTTGCAGCTGTATATGTCACACCATTGACCTCATCTCCCCCGGTTATTACATTGACCGTTCTTTTTGTAGACGGGGGTTTCGGAGGCTCTTGTCTATTCTTCATATATGATTATCTACCTTTCTCGCTGAACAGGTCAGTTAAATAACCCTGCTTCAACAAATGCTCAACTTCTCCCTGTAGTAATCTACAATTTGTTATTCTATGACCATGATCGTTGTGAAATTCACACCAGAAATCTGGATTTCTTTTGCTCGGGTTTGATCTCATTTATTTAGGCCATCGCACCTTATCTCCCATACCTCTTAAAACAGCTACTAACTCGGAGGTACTGACGCTAAAACTGAAATCTCTGATCTTCGCATGTGTATTGGAGTCACTGCCTCGTGCATCCCGTTCCTTTCTGAATCTAGATGAAGAGCCCGTATCTTTTTGCCTTGATCTCGATTCAGATCGTATGTTTTCTTGTTTAAACCGAGAATCTCGCCCTGCAGGTCCCATGTAAGGTTCATATCTGTTTTTTCGGTTCTTTTTTCTGATTCTGAACGTCTCGATTCTGCTCTTTCATCAACCCTTGGCTGTGCAACCGTATCTTCTTCTATCCGCAACTTCGTGATGTACACGTTTCTACGTTGTTGCTAGAAATTCTCGCAAACTTTCCTTCGGTCTCCTCGTGGCTTCTGAACTTTTCTCGTTTAGATTGCTTGCGAATGCCATAGCTGCCCAGTTGTCAGGTACTCGTGGTAGCATCATCCTCTCCCGTTGGAATCTATCCACAAACTCCCTGAATAATTCTGTATTTCCTTGTTTTATCTTAAAGATGTCTTCCATCCTTTTTTCAACTTTCTGAGCTCCCGAATGTGCTTTTATGAATGAATCAGTAAGCTCAGCAAAAGAATCAATAGAGCTTTCAGGTAAAAGAGAATACCACGTTAATGCTCCTTTCGTGAGTGTTTCACCAAATTTGTTAACCAAAACTGATTCGATTTCCTGGTTGGTTAAATCATTGCCCTTCACGCCAGTTGTGAACGCAGTTACGTGATATCGAGGGTCAGTTGTTCCATCATATTTTGGAATATCAGGCATTTTAAACTTTTTAGGAATTGGCAAAGGAGCTGCACTTGGCTTCCAGGGTTGTTGTGAATATTTATCAATATCTACCCCTTTAATCACGGGCGGTACGCCAAGTATTTGCTCTATGCGTCATTTTGCTCTTTCAACTGTTTCTGCAAAGTTAGTACCAAACTTTGTAAATCAGAATTATTTGGTTTACCTGACCTCCCATCACGAGATTCATTGGGAGTTCCTCCACTTCCAGAATTGTCGAGCCCCGAGCGTGGGTTTTCTAAAGTTGTTGTATTGACCGGTGGAGGAGTTTGTGGCACATTAGGCAATCCCATAACAAAGGCTTGAAGAGCACTATTCACGTGTTCTGCAATCAATTGCTTTAAAGCGTCCTGTTCGACAGTTTGTTCGTCCCCTTGTTGGTCATTAGCGTGTGATGTAGATCTTTCAGGTGATCCTTCACGGGACTGACGAGGGGATCCTGTTGGAGAGAGGAGTGGTGGAGTTCCCTCATGTGGGTTCAGCTTGTTATTGTCATTAACAGTTGACATAGTTGGTTGTCAGAAAGAAGAATTTGGAAAGTGAAAAGATTATCAGATTCCTGGTAACGGAACCAATTTGTTTAACCAAAAAATAGAATTTTCAGTCAAAGCCTATATTTAGAAGAAAACGGGTTACTGATAACCAAGTTTTACTTCACTTCCCCAACAATCTATTTGGAAAATAGCAAAAGTAATAGCGTAAATTAACAAAGAGAAATAAGGAATGAAACGACAATCAATCCCTAAAATCAAGGTAGAAAACTTTGATAAAGCAGAGAATTATAGAATGTATTTCAGTAGTACTTGGAACTTGTCCTTACAAATAAAATTCTTTATCTTTATATAGGGGCGTACAATCATAACGTTTTCCCCACTTAATTCGAATTCATTATGAGCATTAATTGTATTGATTGCCCGTTATGATAGATAACCATAACTGACGTATTTGTAGCTATAAATGCCTTATAACGGCTCTGATTCCCCTTATTTACTTCTGGTTCGTGTATCTTCCCTTCTTTTTTACCTTTATTCATTCCGTTCTCGCCTCTTCTTTGACAACTGTCAGGCCCGATCCTCTGTGTTGTACTGTCTCGTAGGTGTTTCCCCTGTACCTTCCTTATATTCTTAATTCTATTAATTGAGAGTGCCACTTGTCACTATGCTATTGTTCCACGCGTCATGCTTCGTCAGCTTACTAATATTCCACGTGTAATGTCTTTTTTCCACCAATACAGAAGGATGTATCATCAAATGTTAAATAAGGGAATATGTGACTTTCAAAGTTAAGCAGGGAGTATTTTGGAGTCAATAGTTACTTCCTAAATCTTTTAGGATGGAGGAGACAGTTTCTATAGGAATAGGAAATGGGGATCTGATTTCATTATTTGTGTGTATATACATTTGTTATCTAAATTCGCATTACTTTCTAACAACCAACAAAAGGAAAGTGGACATTCAATTTGAGTCGGAGGGAGAAAATTTAACTAGAAAATGACCTGGCCGTGAAATAAAATTATTGATCCCTCCTTTAACTAGTTTTCATGGATTGCCTCCTTGCGGATGATTTTTCCAACCGGTAGAACTACTGTTAGTTGTCCAAATTCTGACCCCCCTACTATGAATAAAAATGTATTAGTAAGTTTGGTGGGTAATCTCCTTGAGAAATAAAGGAACAGGAGAAATATTTTATTGATATATGTTAAGTGTTTTACAATAGCCCTATTTATATACAATGTTTACATATACCTAAAGCCTTCTTTATCAATGTGGGACACTATACATGAACTAACTCTAACACTATCCCTCAAGCTGGTGCATATAAATTATATATATGCTTGTTACATATATAATTTGTACGAGGACCAGTGAAGGACTTGGTGAAAATATCTGCAAGTTGATCATTTGACTTCACAAACTTTGTAACAATATCTCTTGAGATTCTTCTCTGATGAAGTGACAATCAATCTCAATGTGTTTGGTACTCTCATGGAACACTGGATTTGATGCAATATGAAGGGCAACTTGATTATCACACACAAGTTCCATCTGACTGATTACTCCAAATTTTAATTCTTTGAGCAATTGTTTGATCCAAACTAGCTCACATGTTGCAAGAGTCATGACTCGATATTCAGCTTCTGCGCTAGATCGAGCAACTACATTCTGTTTCTTGCTTTTCCAAGAGACGAAATTACCTCCTATTAAAACACAATATCCAGATATGGAACGTCTATTAGAAGGTGACCCTGTCCAATCAGCATCTTTGTATCCAACAATATGCTCATGGCCTCGATCCTCGAATAGTAGTCCTTTGTCTGGAGCTGATTTTATATACCGAAGAATGCGAACAACTGCATCCCAATGACTATCGCAGGGAAAGTCCATAAACTGACTTACAACACTCACAGGAAATGAAATGTCAGGTCTAGTCATTGTAAGGTAATTCAATTTGCCAACCAGCCGCATATATCTTGCAGGATTGCTAAGAGGCTCCCCCCTATCTTGGCAGAAACTTAGCATTCGGATTCCTAGGAGTGTCAACAGGTCTGCGGCCCATCATTCCTGTCTCCTCAAGAATGTCTAAAGCATACTTCCTTTGTGAAATAACAACCTGAACTAGACTGAGCGACCTCAATACCTACAAAGTACTTCAATCTGCCAAGGTCCTTAGTCTGGATGTGTTGAAAGAGATGTTGTTTCAGATTAGTAATACCATCCTGATCATTGCGAGTAATAATAATATCATCAACATAAACCACCAGATAAATACACAGATTAGGAGCAGAAAAAAAAAAAAAAAAA